ATCAGACATATCAGGGTTAGAGCTGCTTTCCTGCCAAGACCAGTCAGCATCTGCTTCTCTGAAAGACGGGTGAGCCTCATTTAAGTCAAGGGTATCACTGAGAACCAAGAGCCAAATATGAACCCCTTTTAAGGGTCACTGTCACTCATTCTCCCTCCTGGATACTCTCTCTCTCTCTGACCAACTTTCTATTTTTTTTTTTTAGCTGAGAAGATGTGGCTCCATTACACAGCCAAATAAATGTTCATGATCAGTCATTCTTTGCCTTTAACACACTTTACAGCTCCAACAAATGTCTGTGCAAGAGTCTCAGTTTTTATTCCAGAAGCAATTTTGTTGATTGGTTGTCAGGCTCTGCTTGGCTGCAGCTGTGTGGTGAAGCTGTTGTCTGTAAACATGGCCCTGAGGGCACATGATTGGGCCTGCTCTCTATCCTAACACACACACACACACACACGCACGCACACACAGCTCATCGGATCAAAAGCTTGTTAAGGTCTGGCAGTTGTGAGATGGAAGCTCCCTTCTACCTGTCACCCTCCCCCTTCTCCTCCTCCTGGCCTCTTATATCCAGATAGACATCGCTCTCTCTGTCAGTCAGGTGACTCAGTCAGGTGTGCAATTACCCCCACCCCCCTCTAATCATTACCTCTCACCATCACCCCTTCCCCCAGAGTCAAAGCTCCAGGATGCCAGACTCTGATAGCACACAGTAACAATATCTGCACTTTCAACATAATGGCTGTGCTTAAAAGTAGCCTCTGTTCGAAATGTTCAGAGCTGGGGGGATGGGGGTTCTGAGCCCTGAGAGGCCCTCAGGTAAATGCCCTGGGACATCTGATACAGGGCTCCCTCACATACTTCCCCTTCATTGTCTTTATCTTTCCTCCTTCCTCTCTTTCTGTGCCCAGATACCAATCACACGTGAGAAAAAGTCATCCAGGTGAAAGGAAAAGAAGACGTGTTCTCTATGAGCTACATTTACTGTGGAAATGCGCGGGATATTTCTTCTGCCTTTAACACTGCAGTTCAGACAGAAGTCCAGCTGTGCACAGATAGGTCATCTCCACTAAATTCACCCACAGCACACATCCAAAGTGACTCCAACTGCTCCTGTCTCCTCTGTGGGAAAATATGTAAATATTTCTGCATACCACAAAACTAAATGAAGAGGTTGCTTCGCTTGCTATAAAGCTGCCTTTCCTTGAACCCCTTCCCAGGAAAAACAAGTAAAAATATCCTGTCTACAGGTCAGTCTGCTGTCTTTATTAATTTCTCCAGTCATCATGGTGAAGGAGAACTGCAGGAGAGGAAGTCAGGACACAGAGAGTGTGAGAGAAACTTGCTTGTTTTGTCTCAGTGTGGTTTCCCAACCACCACATATGGGAACCTTGACAACAAACAGTCCCTCAGATTGCTTCTGAAGACGTCTTTTTGATAGCACAGCACTGACCTATATTTTCATTCTCATAAAACAATGTGTGTATCAAGTACCAGACTTGTGAATGAGACCCTATAGGCTGCACGGCGAGGATAAGGTTGTGAATGAGAGGAGGGCTTCTTGACTCACCGACCCATAGAGCTCTCCTTTCTCATTCATGCCGAGGTAGAGTCCAGCGTCCACCCCTCTGATACTGACCAGACTCACTGCCAGACTGATGAACTCCAGGATACCTAAGGCCAAGCAAACACAACACAAACTGATCAGGAAAACCCACAAACACGATGTAAACCCCATTTGTATGACAGCAGACCAGTCAAAATGTGCATCACTTACCCAGTTTTTAGTATGAACGCTTCCATTCTTTTTGCATTAGAATGATTCTGCTCTGTAAGTTGTTCATTGTCCTCTTGTGTTGATGTGGTTTTTAGTCTGTATTATTTACTGTATGTAACTCAGCATCGTCTTGCTAATTCATGCTTCAATTACAAAAGTGAAACAGGAAAGAAAGACAAATGCAGAGACGGGAGCACAGCAACAGATCAAGATTTCTTTGATTCCCAGCTTTCCTCTTTGGTCTGTCCTGGGTAACATGCATCAATCTGAGTTGTGGTGTCTAGAAATGTGTTCTTTCTGTCTTTTGGACTTCCCAGTACAGACAGAGAAGTCACTTTTATGAAGCTGACATGTGGGTAAAGTTGTATGGTGAGTTGCTGACTCACAGGATGTTTCAGTAAAGTGAACATTTACATCAAAGGCAGGGAAACAACCGGTGAAATTAAAAGCCATGGTATGGTATGGCAGTATGGTGCAGAGGTTAGTCAGAGATGATCCAGCTGGCTGCGCTGACCGACAGAGGCCAGCTTACAGCCACCTGGTCCCCATCCCCTCGACCTCACAATGCCAAAGGATGACGGAGAAGATCCCTCTAATTTTATACAGCGAAGAGTGTGTTTCATATGCCTCTAATCGAAACCATGTCCTTCTTGCAGCTCAGACAAAAAACAAAAAAACAACTTGATTCTTAAAACTAAGTGAAGCCAGAAACAAACACGCGGACCACCCATCTCTGTAAACCGGCTTGTCTTTTGGCTGAAGCCTGAACATTAAACCTTCCCTAAATTCCGCAGTGGTCATGCTTTAATTAGAGTTATTCCGCGCGCAGGCCTTGCACCTGTGACATGACTGCACGGACATGAAGCGCGAGACATGTGCGTGTCTGCCCTCTGATCTAATTTATTTATTGTTCTCCCGCGAGCCGCACCTCGCTCCATTTACATTAATGGTACCAGATCTTCATAGTTGCGGCCGCGTGCATGCAGGTGCACGCGCTGCTTGTTTGCGGCTGAGGACAGACACCTGCGCCCCGCGCGCAGCGGGGATTGCCAGAAAAAGTTGCGTGGTTGCGCTTTCCTGCGCGCCAGGTGACAGTGACGCACGATTGAGTATCCACTGGGGGTGTGCGGCAGGAAAAACGTCCTAATTAAACCCACTTCACCTGTTTCAGACAATTATCTAAATTAGTAGTACAGGATATAAAACCAGAAATTTGATGCAGCATCTTCGTAAATCTCCAACAAAGGTAGGCTATTAAAATGTGTAATATTATTGATAATTGCTTTACTAAATACTACCTTGTCCCCTCTCCCTCTCTGCCTTTTCCACTTTCTTTCAGCTGAGAGACAGATGATACAACTCTATATTCAGCATTTCATTCGCGCACACACTCACAAAGTTAAAGGCTAAAGAAATACCCTCACCAAATCTGCTGTGGTCTTGTCTTGTCCCATACACAGTACCATTGGGGAATATCTCTAGCTGAAAGCCGGACCTGCAGTAGAGCTGCCGGCGTCTCAGGATCCCTTTCAGGTGCCCGAAATCCGTGGGTGACCCCCGCTGCAGCCTTCCTTCGATCTGCCCCAGCCGCTCATTCAGCCCCACTGGAGTCTCAGGTAGAGGCATATTCCCAAGTGTAGGAAAGCTTTGTAAATCCAAGTCGACTGTCCCCACAAAACTCCCGACCTCTGCCATTGTGTGCACAGCTGTCAAATTAAGCGAAGGCATCTGTAATATTTCGGCAACTCAAGTAGGGAGTAAAGTTTACACAAGTCCGGTCCATTCACGCACAAGCAACGTTACTCCAAGTCAGTCCTCTCAGGTTATCGGTCGTTGCTTTAATCACCAGTTTGATATCTCTGTGTATCAGATGGAAAGACTCTAATATGTACATACTTCCCACGCATTCTCACATTGGATATTTAACCACAAGCCACGCCTGGCTGGCATCCCTTTATACGCGCACACGTTTTCTTTAACCTTCTGAATGTGTAGTTAACTTTCAGTCCAACTTTTACCTCTGATGCCGCTGTCTGTAGGTGTCTGTCACTGCTCTCTTAGAAGGCTGTAGCAGTCAAAGCCAAGCCCACAAGTATTTTCTCATTGCTCTTGCGCTCGTGTTTGCGGTCAGAGGCTGTCTGATAAAACCACACCGCTTATCCAGGGGTAGGATACTTTGGCAACAATTTGTGGTGCATTAAAATGCGACACAGATGCAGAAGCGCATGTCAGCTGACACCGAAAAGGTACATATATCATGAACTGTAACCAACCCATGACCGCAAAGGGAATCCATAATTTACACTGACTGGATTTTTGGTCACACCATAGACTCTCCTCGGAAAAAAAGGAAAACAGCAAAGTATCAAGGCAACATTTCCACTCACAAGATTATCAAAATAACCTGTACATAATCTCAGAGCAATCCAACCTCCTGCAAAAATGTCAGTGCCAACCACTTTTTCATGAGCGCATTTTCTCCACCTCCTTGTTGGAAGCAGGTGCTTCCTCGCCCCTTTGCACAACGTTTGCAATGTGCTCCAGCAAACCAGCAGTTTAAAAACATGCACAACTGGGAAGGGGGGGCGCAAAATCTAAATGCCGATGACGTGTAGTATAAAATCTGACCGGTGCAGAGGCTCTACAAACTTTTGGAGTGATCAGCCTTAGATGGCTTCGAAACTCTTCCAAAATGTTTATTTACCTTAACGTTGTAATGCACATTCCTTTAGTGTATAAACAGTACATAAAACATGAACGGAAGTATATGCATGTATATATTTAACCACTTTACCTTCATAATTCACAGCAAATGTCCTATTTGAATTAACATCAGTAGTGGAAGACGTAGGCTATTCAGATGCTTTTCTTAAGTAAAAAGTAAATATAGCTATAGTCCTACATTTCTTTCCTACATTTGCTACAAAAGTAGACAAGTATGTCAAGTATATGCAAAAAAAAGACCTATGTCAGATACTTTATTACACATGATGTTTTTATTGCTGGTGTGTATAGTAGCATTTTAAAAGGTAAAACGGCTCCCTGTAAAATGTCAAGTACAAGGATAAAGTAGTATGACCTCTGAATATTCAAAGTACTTCAGTACTGACATGTCTCAAAATAAGTACTTGAGTAAATGTGCTCCCTGACTTTCCACCACCGGTTAGCACCCTCACATCTGCACCACTATCTCTCAGCCAAAGTTCCACCACTCATGTGAAACAGTCTGGTGTTTCAGGTGCACGGTGAGTTGTGACACCACGCACAAGAAAGCACAGAGAAAGCCACAACAAGGATAATAAATAATAGGTGTAATTTCTGATTGAATGGGGATTTTGCATCTGTTCTGTGTGTAATGGGGCAACAGGTCCCAGCTTGCGGCTTGGCAGGAAAACGCGGCTGTATAGTGAAGACTTTATTTCTGTGTGAGGATCAAAATGAAAACAAACTCCAGGAGTGTTTTAATTAGTTCCCTGTTCTTGAGATATCCGTGACAATGGGACGGGCTGGGAGGGGAGGGAACGATTACATCAATAACACAGTTTTACTATTAGGCGTGTTATTTTAGACCTCCTTCAAGCTGTTTTCGGAAACCCCCATCCTGAGGGGGAGGTTTCGCCTTAGAGAAGCTCATCACAAGCAGCAGCTTCCCTGTAGAGAAATGGGATTTATGACGGTCTCCCGCTTCCAGTGAATGGTGATAAATAGTGTGTTAAAATTACCCAGAGTGACTGTTTTGATGTCACTATCAGGCTTTGATGAATTTCATGGCTTTTTCTTTTTTGGCTAATTTATCAACTTTTGTGGTGGCGGTGCAATTTATTTTGAAGCAGATGTGAGTAGCTTTGAGGACTCCTGAGTGGGATACAGTATGACTGACCCTCCAAAGCACGCAGGCCTTTTTCACTGCTACTAATTATGCCACTATAAATCTTACGGCTGTGCCACAGCCGCATTGAAGTCAGAGGAACGACAGTGGCTTTCAGCTGATGTGGGATATGAAAGGTGGTGGGGGTGATAAATGCCCGTGGGCCTCTGCTTGATGAATTGGGCGAGGGGTTGACGAGGAGTCAGGGATGGTTAGGCTTTGTGTGAACAGACACCAGGGCCCTCGCTGCAGAAGAGGATGAAAGGAGGATTCGTTTCAGCTAAAGGCTGGAAGGAGAGGGATTAAAGTAAAGAGAAAAGAGTAGAAAGGAAGAAAGAGATTGAACAAGTGAAATATAGTAAGAGAAAATTTAAAAAACACTCAATCCACTTTTCCTCCCTCCTTGTGAGCATGTTCTAGCTTTGGCTCATTGTCCATTTCCCCTGCACAAAGCTGAAATTGATTTTAATTGTTATTTAGTGCTAAAATAAAAATCTAAAGGTGGTAAATTTTGAATTAATTTTTTCTGGGTAGCTATTGGAACTACATCTGTTGCTGGTCAACCATATTTTATAGTTGACATGGCAGATTTATGGCTGCACACACACACACACTTGCACTAAAATCCATTTAAAATGTTCCCATATGCTGAGAACCTGCAGAGGATATAGAAATGAAGATAATGACCTCAAGTGCACGGCTGCAACTTTGAAGTCGCTCTCCCCTGAGTCACAGTGAAAGAGCCAAAACTGAAAATGAAGTTACACTTGCAGGGTAACAAGTACGAGCTTCACCTGTTTATTCAGATTATACAAATGCCATGTGTTCTGTTCAGTGAAGTGAGCGCTCTGTTTGTTACCTGGACAGAGACAGGCTAGCTGGTTCCTCATGTTTCTAGTCTTTATGATAAGCTAAGCTAAAGCTTGGCTGGAGCTTGGTGATAAAGCTACAGTGACATCATCTCATGTAACCTTTGGCAAGAAGTCTTTAAGTGAATTTCCCAAAATGTGAAATAATTCCTTTAAGCATATCCTGTGATGTTGCTACTTATTATTTGTGTAAATTCTTCAACACAAGGCTCAAAAATCATCTTCACATTCTGCATGTGGAGTCTTAGAACAGGTTACAGTGGAGGCATTTGCAGCCCTCCTCTTCAGTGATGGATGCCCAGTTTGGAAGAAGCAGCGTCCTGCTGCTCCTGATAGCTCCACACAGCAGATCTGGGATCAGTTTTCTCAAACCCCTCTTAACCTCAGCTAAGTGTTGGCATGAAAGAAAAACTCGCTGACTCTGTGTCATTAGCGATTAGGAACAAGGGCTTGTACAATATCTCCTTCTACCCGGTTAATGAAGCTTCCAAAGGGGGTCAAACCTGCCTGCCGGCAAAGCAGTATAGCCCAGTGTAAGGACTGTTGAGTGTAGCTGCAGAGCAGAACTACAAGCTCCCAGAGAGAGTGAAGAGAAAGGCTATCATCTGTTCTTATTTTACCTTTTGTCAGGCAGCATGTGGAAAATGATCTTAACTGTGAGTTATTTGCAGAGCTGGATTCCATGTTATTTCATTCCCTAGCAGAGACATAACAGAGAGGGTCTCCTCTTTCACGCAGGTGGTCCTTCGGCCTTGTTCAAGGGCACTGTGTACGCTGGAGCAGGGGTGGGAGGGCCCATGGAAAGATAGTGTTAATTAATTTGCTTGCTTTGCTTTCAAGCACTAACGAATGGAGCCCCCCCAGGTTTTGAGAAGCCACGAGTTTGCAAGGAACACAGTCTAAAACCAACATTTGTTGTACAAATTGCTTGCATATGTTCTTGGCAGAGGAATAAAAAAAAGATTCTTGTCATGACACACCAAGAAAGATGTCCCACTACTTTTAGTTATTTATTTGACTCCTTGGGAAAACGTTGAGGGGAATATTTTAACTTTCTCTCCAACATTTTAGTTTAGCAGTTAATGATTTATACACCAAGCTTGTGGTTGTATCTTTCAGCTGAAATGTTGCATTTCTAGGTGTACACTTCCTTTATATCCATGATATTTCTCTCTGATTCTTCCAGTCACTGCCATTCAGTTTGTCTTCATGATCGCACAGGCGGTGACGCTGGCTAATGAGTCTAATTTACTGCAGCCTCACATTAGCTCTGAGTGATGTTCCACTTGTCTGCCTGTGCTGATGGCTGACAAGCGATGTAGTAACAGCAATAAGAGCTCCGCTTGTGTTCCTCAGCTCTGCAGGGCTGCGGTCTGATGTTGGGAGAGGATATATGCGTGATCATGATCCTGACTGATGAGGGAACAGGCCCTCAGAGTGAGACTATTATTCTTACTACAACACAGAGCAGGAATCTACCCTCAAACAGATGTTAGGAGCCCTTTGTAGAGCCTTTGGCACAGAGCCCAAATCTACCTATCTGTGTAGCTATTTACATGGCAGTCCAGCTGCTCAGTCTCTCTTTCTCTCTCTTCTCCTCTTCCTTTCTTACACCCCTCCGTGCTTTTGCCCTCTCACTCTGCCTGTGTCTTACATTCCCCCTCTCTCTCTACCTCTCCCTCCTTCTCTCCCCTCACTGTTTGAAATGAAATACCCGCTCTAAACTTTGATCAATCAAACATACTAATTTGTTTAACTGAGGAGACAGTGACATACTGATGCAGGTTCACTTACACAGACATGAAAAGACTAGGCGTCCCATATCTCAGAATATCTCGGTGCTGATGCAAACATTTACCCCACACTTTATATTTAGTCATTCTCTTTTACAGAGATGCCAAATATATTCGAAATTTTATACTTGCTTCACTGACTTATTGCCCTCTCTCATCCAAGAAGATGTGGGAGGGAAGGATTTATAATGATAACCATTCCTGGAATTAGTTTATATTTGCTTTCTCAGTAATCTTGTGAAGTGAAAGCCTGCATGGCCTTCAACATGCAAACAGCAAAAGTCATTTGTAAAGTGCTGTTAATTAATGTTATTTAGCACATTTATCAAATTCAGTGTACTTAAGGCACTGTGCACAAATGACTGGAAAACAGAGATGGGTTTATGCTTCTCTTTACAAAAAGGAAAAGTCTTCTTCGGCATTGCTAGTTTTTTTCTATGGACCCTCTCTTGGATATGAAACAAAATTGCAATGAACTCTCCTCAAGATCCAAAGATAAGCTCATCCAGTTATTTTCACCATTATTAGCTAAAATTAAATTAGGAATTTCAAGTGATATAACCCAATTAGGCTTATATGCATGATTCCATGTAGCCACCATTTGCCAAAATTATGACAGGATTGCTGTCACATCGCCAAACACACCTTCAAGCCTGTGGCACAGGAAAAAAAAGGCATTTCATGTTTAAAAATGCAATAAATTTCTCCAGATAAGACAAACTATAAATCTAGGAAGGGGTGAAGTTCTCCGCTCTGCAAAAACCAAACAAAAACACTATCTTCCCTTTGGCAAAAAAGAAACAAACAAAAAAATGCCATATCCACGCCCTCCTAATAATTTTTGCACAGTCCCTAAGAGCAGGTGACAAATTGTGGTTGCTAGAAACAGTTAGAGATGTCTAGACCTTTTGTGGTGCTGTTGTCATTTTCATAACCCTGAAGGCGTATTCATGGTCACAGTGACTTAAATGA